TGAATACCATTCTCGCCTACGTTTTCTTTGTAACTAAATCTTTCTTCCTCTCAACCCAGATCTGAAACCCAAATTAGCATGGCGACCGAAGCTACACCAGCGGTTCCAATGGTAGAGCCAGCCACTCCCAGCAGCAAACCTCAAGAAATCTCCTTTACCTTGCCCAAAGCTTTTCATACAACAGCACATCTTCACTTGAACTTCTTGGGCCATTGTACCATGGTATTTCTGGCTACCTCATCGCCAGGCGATTCGGGCGGCTCTGTCAAACCCATGGGAAGTTTCGTCTATGCGATGCCTGATGTAAGTACCTTACCCGCCAACTTTTAAATTCTTATCGGATTTCAAGCAACGGCTATGCGCTTTTCTCATGCTATAATATATGGACAAGTGATGGCATTCTTGTTTTGCATCGCTCTAGACTGGCTTTCCCCTGTTCAGCCTGCAATTGATCTGCTGCACACAACTGAACCTCAAGCTCCAATTAACCAGAAGACTTATCGCGCTAAACGCAAATCCCTGGATTAACTGGAATCTCCTTGCCCTTTTCACTGAGAATTTTTTGCGGTTTCAGGAGATGACTGACATCTATATAGCGCATTTCACCCAAGTCGACAATATCAACAACACTCTACACATCACCATCTAGCATTGAATACACAGCGCGCATAGCCAAGATCCTGGCTCAACGGTTCTCCATGCCAGTCTATGTTGGCTGCAGTATTGACCCGCATGGCATGGGGTTGGAAGTTGCGGAGGAAATGGAAGGGCTATCCAAGATCATCAACGTGATCATGGAGAAATGGGAAGCGCACAAGCAGGAGAAGTCTGGAAGTTCTAGATAAACATCACGAGATATATAACTTTTGTTTCAATCCTCCATCATCAAATATCATCTAATTGAAGCCACTAATTCGCCTGATTTAGATGGAATTGTGCCTTTTTTCCTATCTCGTCCAGATATGTCTTCTTATCCCTTGTTCTACTGCTGCCTAGAGGAGCTGATGATCTCTCTTAGCCTTTGTTGATGCCTGATCACATCTTCATGGTATGCTTATTGCGGGGACACGACAAATGAACCGCCAAGTCGAGAGACAATAATCTCGCCTACCTACAGCAACCCAACTAATATTTTTACTGACCTCAATCCAAACCAACAAAGACACAGCACTCTGGCCTTAAAATGAGTCTTAGCCCCTACGAAAGATCGGTACAGATCTGTCGGAAATTATTTATCGGCTCCTCGGCACGGGAATCTCCAAGGAGTAGTCAAGCAGAGACAAAGCAGCTTTTTGCAGCGAACACCGACTGCAAGTCAGCACCTAAAGCCTTGGCGATAGGGAATTCTGGCGCTTCTCAACACCACACCCAAGCAATTCAAGCACCTGCGACAGCCACGACACACTTGTCAGAGCCACCAACATCATGATTTACGACAGGTTATTTGTGCAGTCAACCAGCAGGCTACGTCGCTGCGTTAGTTGAAACGAAAAGCTTCTTGTTGATCCGCCGTGCCCGCATCGTATACGCATCACACGTATGACTTCTACTGGCCTAACTCCGGCTCCAGTGTCCGGCCATTGATCGGCACTTTTGAGAGGTTTCTATCTCCATGTACTTTACGGATGTAGTCACAAGGTTCGGTGGAAAGCGTGACCGAACGCCCTGGATACGTCGGTTTTTTTAGTCCTGTTGCATGTGCTTTGGCTTCTTGTGGAGTTGTAATCATGTCAGCCAGACCTATAAGAAGCTGTTGGAAATAAATTTGCGGCAGAGTTGGAGAGAAGCTCTAATCGGTCCTGGTATGGTCCTGCATTCAGTTTGGCTAGACAATGCCGAATCTTCCTCGAAAGGTTAGAGTGCAGGAAAATTCTTTATACCCTTGTCGCGGGAGCGAAACACATACGGACTAGTCTCATCCGCCGGGCAAGACGTGATTTTAGTCTGTGAACTGTCAGGGGTTTGCAAAACTGGGTGGTAGACGTTTGATCGGAGTAGAAGGGTACCTCGTAAATTCTACAAAGAGGTGTGTGTGAGTTTGGTTGGGGAAGTTTGTTGGACTGATATTTAACATATGGATATAGATGTGTTGGTATCCTTTGAGAGATTGTCATCAGAAAACTCGTCCTTGCTCAGGGACACACCACCTTTCCAATGTGGATGAGTTCCGACGGACTTCCGCAAGAAAAATATTATCAGCCTGACTTGTCGAATCTAAGACACCAATATAGCTAAGCTTTGATTAACGCATGTGAGACAATGCATGCACGTTGGTTCTAGGATACCAATACGGAGTACGGAGTACTCCGTATGTACCTCCAGCTTATGTTGTGCTTATCACATATTTGAGCGTTGCATCCATTGATTGTGGACATGGATCCTTCAAGCTCCGCGCTGGTATATGGAGACTTGCATGGCCTTACATTTTGTTTCTGCCTAACGATCCCAAAATCAAATGTTGAGCCAAAAAAAAATTCATACCCAAACTTCCTACCAAAACAAGTCAGAGTCCGATTGAAAAAACCACCCAACATCCACCACCGACTCGGTAAATAACTCGAGACATCTCAGATCTTCAACGTAACCCCCTCACCCCCATTTGATCTGAGACACACCCGGGGACTAGCACACGGAAGACATCGGGAGTCTCGGGTTGACAACCGTGGCAATTGCCAAGCAGAGCAAATCGGAATGGCTCGGTTGACGGGTATTTCATCTCGATCGTTGTCCCGCTGTGGGGCGTTGACGCAAGGGCAAAGAACAACGAATTGACACATTATTTAAAACTTTTGGTTGAGTTAAATTGCTTGTGTGCGATTGCTGAGTCGAGGCGGACTTCCACCTAGTTGATTCCAGACAGGGAGCAATGTCCGGTTTAGACCTTGAAAGTGGGGGAAGCCCACACTTAGGGCGCCAAGGTAAATTTTTACTCTTTTCCCTCGGGCTGGGTCGATCTGCGTGCCTATTTGATCGAATGCTGAGTATCAACACGGTTGTGGGCCGAGAGCTACGGTGATATGCAAACAAAGCATATGAACTAGAACGGGAGCGGTACTTGATAGTCTTGATGGTCGCCATGTGGAAGTGTTCCAATTGAAGCCTCCACAATTGGAGGAGATCAAATCAAGAGGTTGCACATGCCAACCGGTGGAGGAAGCGTGGTACACCGCAAGTTCCGATGGCTAGCTTCAATTTAGGCGCCAACAAGTCAGTGTTCCTGGTATCATTGGGAGCATTTGATTAGGTCAATGCTTTACACGTGCTACTACTGAACCCCTGCATGGTATATGGAGATTGGTTCCGGAACGAACCGAAGAGACTGTCTTCGTTAGGGTTAAGCGTCAAGCTGCATGAACACGGGCCCCCTGCAACCAAGGATTGACCATTTCGGTCTTTCCCGAATTGGGATATGATAGATACTTGGTAACTCCACAGTTTCTTGGCTGTTATTTGATTGGTGTTTATCTTAAGTTTGTCGGCAAACAGTTACGCGTTCCGTTTGACTTTCGGAGCGAGTTCCCCAAATGTCGGCTCATCTATAACCAAGGGGGGAAAGAAGCCTAGAAGGCGAAATTGGGTGGCACAACGACTTGCAAAGTACGTTGATTCTGCAAGGACCGAATGTCAGCAAGACAACATACGATTTGGAGGCTTGAAAGGGAAGTGGTTAATTTTTTTTATCGCTTGATGAGCCGACCGGAGAAGTTCCGAGAGCACATCCGTGAGCTGGCAAAGATTAACCAAGGACTGGCCAAGCGGCTGAGGCTGTCTGGGCTCCAGGAACTTTGGTGTTGAAGGGGGGGGTTTCTTTTTTCTTTTCTTTTGGTTTCCCTGCACAGCATTCACACAGTCCGTACCCAGTAACAACTGATGCATGGAATAAAGCACCAGTGGTATTGTACCGCATACATTCTCCGTCCGTTCTCGAGACTAAACCCAGATGGGATGGAACCCCGGAGCTTGGGATATTGCATTTAAAGAGAGGGCTTGGCGGGCTAAGGTGGGCTGGCCGGAGTGCTCTGTATTATTTGGTATATATGGATAACATATCTACTCCGTACTCCATACTCCATACTCCGTACGAAGTAGATAGACGGCAATAGGTTCAAATTCGGGAGAGCAGGGTTTGATACAACATAGGCAATGGACGAAAAAAAAATGGCAAAGAAAAAGTCATCAAATCCGGGCCAATGCTCCAAGTGGTCCCGGTGCACTTCCGAAGTCGATCGCCAGGGCTTGCGGAGATCTTTGTGGACAACTTTTTTCTTTCGGTTTATTTTTGGGTATCATATTTTTACGTCAATGTGCTGTTGTATTAAGATCGTTCCAAGGTGACTACTCCGTACAGATTCTCCATTAACCAAGTGGGACGAAGCTCACCAATACCTAGGACATGACTTTGTCTTTCAAGCAAGATCTAAACACTGCCACTGCCGATCTCGGGCTCACTTGCTTATATTACCAGTATATACAGATGCCACAGACGCCATCCTCAGAAAAGAGTATCTCGGCTTGGATTGAAAATGTTAGGTAGATGGTAAGGCTCTTCTTCGTCGATCTAGTAGTTCTCTCCTTTTACTCTTATGTTCCCCTCCTCTTTCCTTTCAACGTTAATTTTACATTCCCCGTTCTCCCTTTCTTCACAAGATTCTTTGATCTTCATCTTTCCCAAACTCGGCATTTAACATGTACGATCGTCCCCGCCTTTGGGGTGTATTTCATTTTTAATTTTTAAATTTTTAAATTTTTTTTCCTTTTCTACTATCTCAACAATGGCTTCGCCATTCCTATTCGAATAAAACCTGGAGAGAAATCGAAATCTTGAATGCGCTTTGGAACTGTGGAGATAGCCCTTATCTTACGTCGCCTCTAAGATTCTTACCCCAACTCTTCCTTAAATTTGTTCCCCTCATATTTGTCTATTTATCGGAATACATCCAACCATGCAGCCCTCTCATTTTCGAGGCCATCAAGGCTACGGGCTGCCACCCGTGCAATCGATGACGTCGGGCGCATTCCCGGCTCCTGCACTGCTTTCCGCTCCGCCGAGCAGACCTGACAGCGAAATGCGAATGTCTCATTTACTGCAGCCTATGCCCTCAGCCGGGCCGACGACATCACCGTACCCGCGCTTTTATGATTCTGCCTCAGTCTCTTCCGGTGAGACTGCGCTTCCCGATGCGCCACCAATGAACTCAGTCTACCAAACCAGCCCCGGACATGGGCAACAGACCGCCGCGCAACTACAACAGAAGCGCGCGTATCGCCAGCGTAGAAAAGACCCTAGTTGCGATGCTTGTCGCGAGCGTAAGGTCAAATGCGACGCATCCGAGTCGTCCAGCTGCACCGAATGTAACAATCGCAGGGTCCGCTGTCAGTTTACCAAAGAGACGAACCGCCGCATGTCATCTATCAAACAGGTCCAGGATCTGGAGAAGCAGTTACAGAATACCAAACAGCAATTGCAGCACTTGCAGACTGGCATGATGCGGCCGGATCGCATGGTGGATGTGGATGAAGGCATCTCGCAGCCGATGATCAAGTTGCCTGAGATCGAATATCGACCCGTGCGCCGTTCGAAGGCGCCCATCCCACAGGATTTCTCCGAGGTGCGGTCTAATATCCGATATTACGGCCATGGCATCTTGAAGGTGCCCACCCCATACCGCCAAAAGGGTGCAGAGTCATTGGTGACTGGCAATGCGCCGGAGCTGCCGCCAAAGGATCTAGCCGATCATCTACTGGCCCAATATCTGGGTTGCATTCACGCGGTACTTCCGGTGCTCCATTGGCCCATTTTTATCGCAGATTATGAGAGGGTTTATCGGTCGGGGTCGTTGTTGGGTGTCTCGACTGAATGGGCGGCTGTACTGTTTGGTGTGTTTGCCTGCGGCGCCATCCACACGAACGAGGCCAATCGGGAGGAGGAAGGCAAGAAATACTTACGCACATCCTGTGCGATTATTGATGTTTGGCACGATAACTTCAATTTGGATCGGGCTCGCGCGGCGCTGCTGGCAAGCATATTTCTCTACGAGGTCAATTCGAAGTCGGCTAGTTGGGTGTGGATTGGCTCGGCAGTACGTGTGGCTCAAGAGATAGGGCTGCACATCAACTCCGGACCGTGGCCTGCAGTCGAAGGGGAGATGCGGAAGCGTGTTTGGTGGGGATTATACACCTGGGACCGACTACTGGCGCTTGAGATGGGGAAGCCAGTGTTGATCAACGATCAAGATTGCGATATCGATCTACCATGTCCCGTGGACGAACAGTACATCACAGAAGGAGGCAAGATTCTGGAAAGTCAGCCAACCACACCATTGCTAGCTACGATCCACGTCGTCCGGTCCATCGGCCAACTCACGCGCACCCTACGCTCAGCAACCATTAGCCCCGCCACCCTTGAGACCTTCGAACTCCACTTCAACACCTGTCTTGCAACGTTCCCATCTCAATTCCACCCCAAGACCGACCAAGATCTTGACCCCCGCTCCCTCGCCCCGGTAATCTACCTCCAAAACGCCCGCCTCCTTCTCCACCGCCACAACATCTCCCCCTTCTGCCCCGACATCGTCCGCACCTCAGCAATGGACTATTGCGTCTCAACGGCCCTTGACACGGCCAACATCCTCGCCCGCTGCATGCGCAACTACTCAACACACCCAGACCCACCATGTATCAACGATCCCCGCTCTCACTTCGCCTCCTCCGCGGGTTCCCTCCTCTGCACACACATCTGGCGCTGCACGCTCCTCCTCCTCTTCCGAGGCGAGTACGCCGGTGCTCTTGTCTGTGTACAAGCACTCTCATCAATCGGCGACATGCGCACTGTGAACGCCGCCTGCGGGCGATACCTCGCCTTCTTCCTACGGCGTCTGCTCGTTCGCATCCAGCCATCTGAGGGCAACTTCTCCGATGTCGACCACGACGAAGAATTGATGGCATATGTCTCGGGCGACATGCAAGGAACTAGCGACGGCAGCTGGATATGGCACGGATCCGAGACGGGGTCTCAATTGGAGAGGATGGGGATGGGTGTCTCGACGCTGACATCATCTCATAATCGAACGGAAATGAAGATGGATGTCGGGTGGGAGGGTTGGGGTTGGGTTGAGAAGACTGTGCAAGATCTTTTTTCTAGGCAGCATCAGCATCAAAAACAACAGCAGCAGATTGCTTTTGGGCAGCGGGATGTTCCAATGGGACAGCCGATTTTGGAGACGTCTTCTTCTTCTACTCTTGCGCCAGAATCCACTTCTGATACAGACAGACGGTCGAGCTCGGCACATTCACGCATGACGATTGCTAGCATCATTTGAAGCGGACATGTTTTCTGCACATTTCTTTCATTTCTCGTCTCTTGGTCTCGTTGCACCAAGTACACATCGGACTTCACATGCGATGTTTCTAAATCACTGTCTCATGTCTCTAAAGCCTCCACCTACGTCAGTAAACATCGCACATCACAGCATTGCTCTATCAGGCGTGAATGTGTTTGGCTCCGGACTCGATACGGGCACTGCCACTTGCTTCGCGATTCTTTACATATTCCTTGCAAATATTGCATTGCCGATACCCCATACCCAAGAACTTGTTTCTAGCCTTTCTCATTTATATATACACAACCTTCTCGATTTCCGAGAGTTATAGCATGCATTTCCTTCTTACCTTTCCAGTTCTAGCCGAATGAACACTAGGTCTCAACAGTTTGACAAAGCTTGAGCCAACTTTAAGACTACCCGGTCCTCGCCAAGTAACCCAACGATCTCAGTCAGTTTATTTCACATTCACGCAGTTCCCATGTTCCATGATTGCTATGTATACTTTTAATGCCATGAGAGACGGTCCGTTATCAAATCAGTGTGTATTTATAGATCAACATGAGAGGCCTTGTTTAGAAAGACGTCAAAGAGCTTCTTTCCTAGCTTGAGGCTTTTCAACTTCATGGCTTGGCCCGGGCTATGTAACTTTTACTCGTAAGCGATCAGAAACACATGGTCATTGCGACAAAACGAGGCAGAGTCAAAGGCTATGATGAAATCACAGAAGATTAGCATTGTTCTAAAAAATGGAGTGTTTAATCAACGGAGAACCAATTGTGTTGCTGCATAAGCGATAAAGTGAGGTGAGTGGAGACCAATAACAGACATCGGAGGCTGTGTTGCCCGGTTGCCCGAGGCTGTCCTAATCGGGCAGTACAATTCGCACGAGACCTTCCCCAGTTCATGGTTGTCATAAGATATATTTAAGTCCCTGCTTCGGGACGTCTTTTTTTGTCTTGTTCACTATCAGAATCCAGAATTGCGAGCCTCGTCTATACTTATCTTGAAACCCGAGCAGTCGTCGCCTTGCATAGCAGCAACACCTCCAATATCCATCTCCAAGTGCTATACTTGCCGGGAAAATTATTTTGTGTACTCTGCGGTAAGTCTTGAGCCCTAAAAAAGGTGTAAGATTCCACTAACACATTGTCAGTCGACTCGATTAGCTCTGATCCCAATCTTGAAAGATGTTCCTCAATCTCTTTCGGTCCAAAGAAGCCAGGAGAAGAAAGGAAGAAGAGAAACGAGTTGTGAAGCAACAAGAGGAAGACCGAAAGCACCAGCAAGCGGCTGTTGCTTCATCCAAACCAACTTACATTCCGTATTATACCCCTCCCTCCACATCCGCGTCGTCGACTACCTGGAGTGGTAGCAACTACAATGCCATGGTTGGCAGTAGCAATTACGACTCAGGAGCTGGCAGTAGCACCCATCACCATCATTCCAGTGGTGGGGACAGTGGCCATCACTCTGGCGGTGGAAGTAGCAGCAGCGATTCATGCGGCGGAAGTAGCGGCGATTCAGGTGGTGGAGGTAGCGGTGGCGATTCAGGAGGCAGCTCTGGGGGTGGCTGCTAAGCTATATTGCAGCTCATGTTATCGGGTCTGAGTAGCGATCTGGAGACTTTGAACGCAAGGTGAGCTAGTGAAGACACTCATTGTTCACAACGAAAGCAAGCGTTCTGATAGTCAATCATATTAGAACTACTCTCTCTGGGTATCCAGCCGTACATTCCTCTCATGAGGATAGCATACTCTTCTAGACCGCAATTTCATACTTGGATTGATTTTGTTTAGGAGAACCATGGAAATAACGTTGAGTCTAGTCGTTTTGAATCTGAATGTTATCTTTTTTCTACTCCCACTAGAATTCAGCTTGTCCAATTTAGTGTAATCCCACAAGCGCCGCTATAAGCTGCTCAAGTTAGTACAAAGCAATAAACCTCGATAATTCTACATCCCATATGTCTTTTCACAATGTCAAACTTGAGTCAAGCTCAACAAGGTCTTCTTTCCCCGCTGATTCTGCCAAGCCGTTCCCCTGGCTGAGAGCCAACTTGCTGTCGCACACCTGTCAAATCACCAAATTAACTGGATCTCGGGTCTCTGCATAATGTTTCAAGAGAAAATATCTATATCATGTTTGAGGAGAACGCTTAGATATTGAATGACTAAATGAATCTACGCATAGCGTAAAATTCTTCGAGAAAAGTCAGTCATGGTTTATAAATATCGAAATCAGAAGAGAAGAACAGTACAACTATATAGGGTTGACAGGTCCATAGGTAGTTGCATCACAACTTCTTTAGGTGGGATGTGGATTTAAGTATATGATATGATAAAAA